ATAGCTCTCTTCTTTCTATAATCTATCCTGACTAATCAAACCACAAATCATAAGTTCATTTTTTTTCTGTTTTACACAAAAAGTCCATAAGGGGTTTCCAGTCAGGAATCAACATAGATATTGTCTTTTCTCTGATCAGGAAGTTTTTCCTTATATTTAATTTATATTGAAATTCACAGGGACATGGGCTCAAAAGCAGCCCTTGTCTATTACACCCTATGCATCCTGAAACACCTTGACCACAATCTTGATGAAGTCAGTTGATTGAATATATTTCTCAAGCCATTTCCCCATTTATGTCTCACAGTAACTTCATAGCCATAATTACCAAACCATCACCAATGAACCATTACTTCATCAGTATAATGATGTTTGGATGAGCCTAGAAGATGTTAGAAGTCACTAGTGGGGAAATGACCATAAGATGATCTTGCATCTCCCAGCTACTACTGAAGTGATACAAAGTCAATCCTCATTACTGTCAAATTGGAACAATGATGGTTAGGTGATGCAAGAAGATGCTCTATCTCCATAGCAGGGATCCTGCCTCCGTTTTAGGAGCAACTGGGGTTTACTTTCACTTAGTACTCCAGAAGAAATGAAATGGCTATTCCCACCAAGTTTAAAGACTTCTTTTCTGATGGATCAAGATAGCTATTATGGTTTTCAGTTTACCTCTTCCAGTCATCCTCAGTTTCCCAGAATTCGTAGACAATGAAAGTGACCCCATCAGGAAGTCTGACTGCAGTTACGCTGCAAAAGAGGAAATGAATTTGAGTCAATAAGTAGAAGCAGATAAATCATCTCCTGTAGAATATATTAATGATTCATCAATCCAAAACTAATGAAACAGGTCAGCTGCAACCTTGTCCCCCAACAAGCCAAGACGAAAGCCAAGTAAAGTTATGTGAATGCAGATACCAGCTCCTTAACTGGTAACTTGGGTAAGTAAACTCATACAAGAAACTGCTTCCTCTATAATGCTCAATAGTGTCTAGTAGTTGATAGCAACAATCAATGTAATGTTGGCCATCATAAACGTGATGTTTCCTGCTGCATTCCAGCTTCTTGTCCTGCAAATATATTTTCTAATAATGTTGATTGAGCCCAGAGGTTTTCTCTGAAACAAACATGATATTGGATGTGGGCATTCTGTTTAGTAAAAAAAAAAAAAAAGGAAAGAAAGTTTAATTAAAACAATATTTTTTCCCAAGTAAAATGGGACAAGCAGCTTGAGGATTGGAAAATAAGGTGTCTGTGGGGAGCTAAATAAATGTCTCCCAGCCAATTGTATCACGTGACCAGGGTTAAGAGGATTAATGAAACCTTAACTTCTCTCCTTGCTGCTGAAGAACAACCAAAGTCCTAGAAAAGCCTCATAAATCAGGTCTTCCTTAAGTACTCCATTCCTGACTTCTTTTGATTCTTTGCAACCCAACAGAATGTTGGAAAGACATCATTTGTTGAGATGGGTGGCTACACAAATTGATTAAAAAAATAAATAAAGCCATGTAAGGCGTTTGGGACTCTGTCTGCCCATCTGTCCATCAGCAGAAGAACTCTCTGAAAACTGAAAAAAATGGGACCAAATTTAGTGTGCTGCAAGAAAACGGTGAAAGAAAGACTGAAGTAGAAAAGTGGGCCAGATCCAGTTTGAGGCTGTAGAGAAAAACATTCCTGGGGAAAAAAAATCCCCAGTGAATCCCTAAGGAAAGAGCAGTTGGGCAACGCATAGCAGACCACCTTGCTTCTGAAGATGCCAACCACAGTTGCCAGTGAAATGTCAGGAAATTTGTTGTCTAAAACAAGGTCATGAAACCCTGAAGTTCAGTATGGCCCAACAGTTTGGCAATGGCTTGGAATGGTACCAACTACTCCCTTCTAAGCCCCCTCTTTCCTGATCATATGACTATAGACTATATACAACCCATCTTGTGCTTCTCAGTGCACACTTACACAGCGATGCAACGTGAGGGGGGAGTGGAAACGTGCACATACACAAAGGTGTCACATATCCACCTGTCCTCATCAGAATCTATCTCTCTCTCTCTCTCACACACACACACACACACACACACACTACATGTATGTACACACCTTGATTAGTCCCAGACTAAATTATCTACTACTGCACAATCAGGGCATGCAACACTGAGTCAATGTTCCAGGAGAGCAGTTGACCAGGTCAGTTGTTTTATCCTAGCAACTGGAAGTTCTGTTCACACAGGCCATTTCATCAGGTTAGGAAAAATCCTAACAGGTGCATTTGGGCAATATGCTACGCTTGTTGTTGTCTTGGCTGTGGCTCTTCCTCTTGTTCCTCAAGGTTCTTCCTTCTACCCATTACTACATGAAGCATTTGCCCCTTAGGACCTTGAAGATCCTAACATGAGAGAGAGGAGCCAAACAGTTTGGTCTCCCCTTGAGGATGCTAAAGGGATGCTGGAGGGTTTCAAGCAACCCCCAACCTGCATTTTCTGTACTCTAATTTTAAGGCATATTGATACAACCCATGGTTAAGCAAGCTCAAACCCATTTGAGGCTAGTCTATCATGTTGTGCAACCCAGCCTCGCTCTTTCACAGAATTATTATGCTCAGAAGCTTGCTTTCTAAGGCAAGGAAACATTGTGAGAAATCCATGATGTGGCTAAGCAGTTTTTGTTTTTTACAGTATAAAAAAGAGGTTCCTATCTGTTCTTTGCAGCATCTTAGCATGTATCTAAGCTCAGATGGCTCTATCACAGTGCTGACCTGAGCATTTTAGACTCAGAGGTTGCAGTGAACTCTGATGATTAGTCAGAAAGGAAGCCCACAAGACTTTGTTTTGTTACTGGAAAAGGAAAAATATCAATAAAACCCATTGCCAGACTTCTATAAAACTACATCAGTCTCCCCCTTGAAAATACTTTACATGTTTAACCCATCCTTCCAAATTTGGATATGTCCCCTTTTTGTTCTTTCTCTAATGAATTGATAAAAATAAGTTGGGCCCAACTTTTTTTTTAAAGGAATACAGTGATCTAGTGACACAATTCTTCACAAGTATTTGAATTCTTGTGCAGGAAAAAGGGGCTGTATGTTACCCCTACCTACCAGTTCTAATAATCTTGCTATCCTTGCTCACCTAGTATATTTGGTAAATAAATACATTATTATAACGCTTGTGGTCACACAACATGCTAGGTTACAATGTGATTGCTCATTTCTGGGTCCGTGTGCTATGGAAACCTAGGTTTAACTTAGAAAACCATGGTTCACCCATTTTGCAAACAATGGCAATGCCCTGTACTCACTGATCTTCAGTAGCTTCTGCTTTCTTCCAAGACATATTATCTAAAAGCTAAGGAAACCACATATGGACTCTCAAATCCTTTTTAAAATGGCCAGTCAAGCCATTGCAAGAACCTAAGCATGGCTGTAGGTTCTCCAGAACATGTCGCCACTCCCTGTAGAAGTCAAGTCCTACTTACTGGAAGCAGTCCTGTTCTCCAGCCACATTCTTCAAGTACTGCTTCAGGGAGCCGCAGAATTCTCCCAGGTGCTTCTGGGAAACAGTCATTTCACTTCGTACCAAGAGAAGATACTGGAGTAACATGGAGGGAAAAGAGATCACAGAAACAAAGCAGAAAAAATTAAAACTCTGCTGAAATCTGCCTCGCCATTTCTTAGACATTTTCTTCTCCTGCCTGGAAGGTTTCTAATTCTCTAACTTATTTTCCAGATTTTGGAGAATTTATTTCAAGTGGGGTGGTGTTTCTAGGGTTACTTGGGCGATGGAGGACACCATGAAGACTTAGAGGCTGCATTTGCACAGTATGTTAAGTTTGATTACTATAACCTGGGTCAGGTTTTAGCATGTTGTGTGAACTCAGCCTGTTTGGTTAGTTTATGGTTCAATGTACTGTGTGAACCCAGAAAAAGGGTCAGTTCAGTATTCACTGCTGTGATCTGCTGGCCTTACTGTAGGCTACATGTTGGCGCCTGTGATGCTGTTGGTTATAGGCTTTTATGGGGTTTATATTTCATCCATATGCCCTCTTGGGATTTATAACCCCAAGGGATTTTCTTAGAGAGCAATGTTCTCCTTAGACCTTTAAAAAATTACAGTAATGAACAGCAGTCCTGAAATCCTGTGACTGTGAACAGGGAAAAAAAATCTTTTTGCTTCACGAAGAAAAACTCCTGACTGACTTCCCAGTTAAGTAAAATCCAAGATGCTCTCATATCTTGCCAGCATCTGCTTAACACTCATCTTGCTTTATCTCCTCAAAGGGGGTGGGGACCAGTAAGAGGGCTGTGGAAGGAGGACAAGATTTAAATCCAGCCATTTAGAGTATAGGGAACATTACCCCTTCCTCTCCCCCTTGCCTAAAAAAATCTCAGCCCCCTTGCACACTGCCTAGCTTCTATTCCTTCACTCCTCCCCAAAGTTTCTGGATTAGCTTTCCCCAACTTTACATCCTCTGGATGCGTTGGACTTCATTTCTGGTGTTCCTAGCCAGCAAGATACCATTGGGCAATTGTGGCTGATAATGATGAGATGATCTAGTTCCATTCCCCTCTTTTCTTCTCTGGTCTGTGTTGGTTGTATTTTCTTTTCCTTTCATCCCAGGAGCTCAAAAGAGCCCTGGGAATTTACTCTCCTTCCACCTGCCATTTTGTCCTTACAAACAAAGCTTTGGGAAGTGGGTTAGACCAAGTGAAGAAGTGTTGCGTCCAAAATCACAAATTGTGTGGCTGAGTTAGAACTTCAATCCAGATTGCACCCTGACGTATTCTTGGTGATCCCTTGCTTATTCTATCATCCCACACCAGATATGTGTGTGCAGCTTAGAATCTTAAAGATCTTTGGTATCCTGGTGAGATTACTCAACAAGTAATTTGAGATAAAATAGATCGGAGGACAGTTGAAAAAGAGGCTGCTTAACCATGACTTATTCAATTCAACTGATTTTCCAGACTAGTCTGCAGGCTAATGTGGTGTGAATTCAAGCCTCTGTGGCTAGTTTATGGTTTGGGGTCCAGCATACCCAGAAAATTGGGTGGATTATGTAAGTCACAGTCAAAGCAAACATGAATAAAAATGATGTACAACTAGCCAAAGAGCTATGAGTGAGAAAAAAAGACACAATAAGCTATTTTTCAAACAGCCTTTTCTTTTAGAGAGGCATTTACCCTTCCATACAATTTAGAACAGAAAGACCAGCTGGATTTTTTCCCCTTTTTTGAAACCCCAATACTCTGGTGCTTGAACTGAGCAGCGGTTGGAGAGAATGAAAACAATTTGATCAAGTCGAAGCTTGTTATTTTAAGGCACTGTTTTCATATTGCAGTTGTGTTTTAATCATAAGCAACTGCATTTGATTAGAAAAGCAATTCTCCCACAGTTAGCCTTGCTCATATCTGGAAGCTGTCACCAATAGGGATAAAGTAGCTTTAAAAATGTATCAGGTATTCACATGAGGTATCAAATATTATATGTATACATATATACCTACATACATACAATCTGGAGCCTTAAAGAGAAAAAGGTTTCCTCCATTCCAAAAATGTATGTCTCCTAGGTGTTGTTTACAGTTAAGCTTTGTAGAAATGTATATTTAGCACCATTTAAACTGAAGGTAAAAATTCCCTAAATTGATTTTTGTTGTTGTTTTATAACCAAGACTCCTAGGATTTCCTGGTGCTCTCCCATCTAAGTACTAACTAACTAACTATGACCCTGATTAACTTTTGGAGGTCAGCCAAGGTCAGCCAGATGTTGCAACCTGTTATTCAATTCTCTGCCAACAAACTACTGTATACTGATCATAACAATCTTCAAGCTGGCATCTTTGAGATGCAATGGACACCCACTCCCCCACTCCCCAGCCAGCATTGGCTACTGAAACACGCCTGAAAGGAGCACGCTGGAGAAAGGGTGGAGCAGAGCAGTAACCTGGAGAACTGAATTATAAGGGATTGAGTGGTAAGAATTGCTTTAAGCCCAGCTTTCAAATGATGTTTCCAGATCTTGCCTCAAAATTCCAACTCCCACCACAACCGTGCACCTGCAGTGCAGAAAGCTGCTTTGAGGAATTTTGAGTGCACTGCTTTGCAATTTCTATCAGTCCCATAAAGATAGATATAACACCACGACAGTATCTGGGTAACAGTTTTAGCCTTGAAAATCTTAACAGTGGTTGGTCAATAGCTGTCTCCTCTAGATGCAGAGAAGCTGGAGATAGTTCTGGCAATGTAATGGGTCCTATCTGTTCTTCCCAACCACTTGATGCCTAAGATAATCATCTAAAGGACCAAACATGCTCTTTTAGTCCCATCTATCACCCATTATTCTAATGTAACTTAGTTTTTTTGGGAAAAAAGTCTCCAGATATGGTGAAATATTCTAACTAGAGATGACCACAGGAACCAAAACAAACACTGCCTTTAGATTTACAAGGGTCCCAATAAGGAACCCCATGTAAAACTAGAATACTTCTCAACCAGATCAAGGAGGAGGACCTACTGGCCTATTGTTGATCTCCCTGTTCTAAATTTGCCCTTATCAGGAACTAGGAAGTCACTGTGCTCCAGCCATTCTAGCAGGTTCCAGTGCAGGAAGCCACTATCTATGTGATGAATATACAGTACATGTGATGAACTTGCTAGTTGGACACTGTCATAGGCTGATTGGACACTGGTTAGGCAAATCCTTGGATCATCTTTTTTTTTGTAGACCAGAATAGTTCCAGAATGAGGCCAGCCTTTGGATAGCTATTGGTTTTGATCTGTCTGAGTGACAATGGAAAATTGAATGAATACAGAATCCCACTGGTTGGTTTTGGCTTTTAATAGCTCAGCTAGAATCTATTCCCAACTATTGTCTTCCTATTTTTCATTAAAGTTAATGCTTTATTGATTTCCAAGGAGGAAACTGGTTGTATGGCCCTTAGCTCCTTATAATATGAGATGCTTCCACTAAATACTTCACAATTTTCTTCCTATAGGTGTGCAGAAATTATACCTTCTACTCCAGTTATATTTTCCTGGGTGGAACATGACATTAGTCCCTAAAGGCCATATTCTTTTTATTTTTAACTGCTTCTATTATTCTCTCCCATTTGTTTTCAGGTGAGTCTTTTTCTTTTAATTAAAGTTGTAGAGTTGTTGGCTTTTTAAAAGCTCTCAACTTTTTTCAAGGAAGAAACATTATTCTTCAAGCTATTGATTTTCTGAGCTTCTCTTGGGATGCCTCTGTACACTGTACAGTATATTCTTAGACAAACCACTAATTAGGCTTATGAGCTTGCTTTACTACTATTATGGGAGTAAAGACACCTAAGGTGACCTGGAGCTGATGTGTTAACTTCCATTATGGGGCCAAGACTCCCTAGTTGATTTTCCTTCTGTAATCCACTCTCTTAAATATATCACAGTCTTGGTATTGAGAAACTTTAATGCTTATTCTGAGCCCCAAACTCTTAACTTAGCATTCTTCACAACTAATAGTGTCATTTGTACTAGAAATCTTAAGGGCACTAACTTACCTACCTTTAAGGAGTGATCAGTATCAGGGAAAGAACTGATCCCTGATTGTATTGTATTTGTATTCCATTTATCAAAACACCCAGTACCATTCTATGATCAACATTGCTGTTTCCCTTCAAATTCCTTTCTTGGTCTTTCTTGGTCCATTGTCAAAATAACTAAATGCATCTGTGGATCCAATTGAACCAACCACTATAATTAACTCCTTTATTGTTAAAGCAGAGTGGTTGAGTCTAAAAAGGATCCTCTTTCCTCCTGGGTAGGCAATTTTAATTTTTATTTAAATAATTTTATTTATTAATCAGGGTTATATTACAATTATGCCAAAACCAGGTAAAGATCATACTCAGTGTGCTAATTATCATCCAATTTCTCTGATTAATGTTGATACAAAGATCTTAACAGTAGTACCAGCAAATAGATTACAGCAAGCGATACCATTCCTTATTAAGAATAACCAAGCAGGGTTTATAAAAACTAGGCAAGCAGCCAAAAACATTGGGTTAGTTGTAGACTTAATCGATTTGACTAAAAATAAAGACCAATTTGTAATTTTATCTTTAGATGCGGAAAAGGCTTGTGACAAAATATATAGACAGTATAAGTTTGCTGTATTAAATAGGTTTGGATTTCCTTTCAAATTTATAAAATGGATTAAGATGCTATATGAGTGGCCCACACCTACAGTAAGGATCCATGATATTCTTTCTGCTACTTTCCCATTATTTAGAGGAACTAGACAAGGATGCCCACTTTCACCCTTGCTTTTCAATATCTGCATGGAACCCTTGGCTTGTGCTATTAGACAACACGGGGAGATCAACAGAGTAATACACAATTCAGTTTAATACCGATTGGTTTTATTTGCAGACAAGATTCTTGTGTTTATTTCTAAACCTCATACTACTGTTCCAGTGTTGTTGCAAATGATAAATGCCTTTGGTAAAATAGCAGGAAATTCTATTAATTGGTCCAAATTGGAATTGATGCCAGTAGGTGAAAATTTAGTTAGCCATCCATTTAAGAAATATCAACTTTGTATTTGTACTGAATCCATTAAATATTTAGGTATGTGCATACCAAAAGATATAACTCAGTAACATCTAATATAAATAAAATATGTAAAGAGGTTTCTTTAGATGTGGATAGATGGGATTCATTAAACCTCATCCTTTGGGGAAAGGTGAATGCTCTCAACATGAATATTATTTCCAGATTAATTTATATTCTGAGAGGAATTCTTGTTCAAATATCTGGAAAATATTTTCAGAAAACAAACTGTTTATTTAGAAAATTTTTATGGTGTTCTTCCATTCCAAGAATATCTTTACAGAAAGAGATTTTCATTACCAATTAATGGGAGGATTTGATTTTCCGAATCTGGAGTATTATCATCAAGCTTACCTGTTGTCAAGTATTAAATACTGGAAGCCAACAACTGGTGTTAATTTTCTGATTTGGGCAACATTGGAATATACGTATATAGCAACTTTGGTTGGATGGACAGTATTAGGATCTAAATAGAACTCTAATATGTCAGTTAGAAAGCTATGGAATGTAATGTCTAATAAGATTTGATCCTATTGCCCATGCTAAATTGACTCTATGGGGAAACCCAACATTAAAAATTGGGAAAAAGATGGTGAAATGGAAAAGTTGGGTGGAAGCAGGGATATTGACTCTGGACCAATTGATAGATGATGAAGACGAATTTTTAACATATGCTGTGTTAAGAGATAAATATCATCTATCAGATGTAACCCAATGGCAATATTTACAACATTTGTTAACAACATTGTGTGGACCAGCAGCATTTTTAGCTTCTGAGACACCTGAGATACTAGAACAACTTGTTAAATCCTTTAGAACTAAAAAAACCCCTACTATTAGCTTTTATAGAGATTTGTTATCAATAAATCAATTTGATACGTAGATGTTAAGGGATGAGTGGAATAAAGAAGTAGAGGTTTCTGTATTGCCTAGACCATGGGAGAGTGTCTTAACTTCTATAGCAAGAGTGTCAATGGACCGTAAACTACAACTTGTACAGCAAAAAATAATATTTAGAATTTATTGGACTCCTCTATACTTGTATAGAAAAGGATTGTCAAAAACAGCATTTTGTTGGAGATGTAATAAGGAGAATGCCCCTTTAGGCATGTTTTTACAATGTCCTATACTTACTAGGTTTTGGGAGAAAGTAGTGGACTATATAAACATGATTGTGCAACAAAAGCTAAAATTTTCAGAGAATAATATTCTTTTGAACTATATACCTAGTACATGGAATTTGACATCTGGAAAACGTGAATGGATCCTCCGTGCCCTTACTGTGGCCAAAAGACTGACATTGCTGCATTGGAAAGATAAACGAATGGCCCCATTCACTCAATGGATTGAAATGCTGATTGCACTTGCCACTTATGAACAGATTGCCTATAGATGTAGACTTTGTATGGACAAGCGTAATGAAATGTGGGACTCACTTATACAAAATACAGTAGCTTAAAAAAATATAGTCACATAAGTGTATTGGCAATATATATGCATCTGAATAATATTTGCATTAGATAAACATATATATATATATATTTGTAACTATTTACTGTTATAATGATATACTATGCTGTTTTTTATTTTCTTTGTTGTGTTTTTGTCACTTTTTCATAATAGCACTTTTTAATGTTTTTTTCTTCTTGATAGTATAGTATTATTTTTGTGTTTTCTTTTTCTTTTTTGTTATTAATTAAAAAGCAATAAAAAAATTTTTTAAAAACCCTGCCTCAATCCCAGGACATAAATCACAAAGATAACAAAAAATAGTAATAATAAATAGCTAATCAAGACAGTATCCAACACAAAAAATAATCCCAAAAAGCAAACGTAAAGCTTTCAATAAAACCCCAGATAGATGCCCCTAGTCAGTGTGTTGGAATGAAACAGCTTTAACCTGTTTATGAAATTGCATATGTAAAGGGAACCATCATTTAATATAATACCCTTATTATAATATAATATAATATAATATAATATAATATAATATAATATAATATAAATATTAGATATATTAATATAATGATATAATGTAATATCATAATATATAATTATATTATATATTATATAATTATAATCTTATATAATTATAAGATTATATATTATATAATAATATGATAATAGCCAATAATACCCACCCTGATCAGCCTCTAGACATGCCTTTATTAGCTTGTCAACACAGCTGATTTACCTCTTAAATCATTTGTTGAGTTAGCAGAAGCAAATATTTCAATTAAAAAGAGTTTTTTTTTTTTAAATCACCAATCAAATATGCAGGGTCAAGCCTGCTTCAATCTACCTGTTTTAAAAACAGAGAAGGTTTTCTTATCAGTGGCTCTGGGAACTGAAAGCTCTGATCTTTTCACATCCTTCATGTGATGAGATGACAGCAAAGCCAGTGTTTCAAAGCAATTATTTTCAAATTTAACTGATAGCTGCCACAAAGAATAAGGGGGAGGCTGCAGTTGAATGTTGGAGCCATTTTGTGTATTCAATATGCAATCAAGACTTAATCAAGCGTGACAAATATATCTCTTATTTTTCTTATGTTCTGACAACGTAATGACTGCTTCATTCATGGAACTTGTGTGTCTTCCCTGACTCTTTTTAAAGCTAGATCTTTTGGAAGATCATGGCTTCTATTCACTGCTGAGTACAATGTGTTCCTAAGTTCTTCTATTATTAGTTTTACTTGTGAGTCCCTGCTAAGGGAAAGTGCGTACTCCTTAAATATGCCAGGAAAACCAAGCTGGCAGAAATAATTTAAAAAAAACCCAAAACCTGGGCTGTGAAGTTGAGGAGAGAAGGAACACTGATCCTGTCTTCAGACAAAATGTGACTCTAAAACTCATATGAAAAATTTTAAAAACCCTAAAACAAAAAACAAGATCAGCCTTCAAAAATATTTAACCTTTTAAGCATCTTAACCACAGAGCACTTGACTTTTAGTTGATTCATCCATTAGGTTAATATTTGTTTATTTGCAGCATTTTTATACCATCAACTCCAGGCGGATTCATGGTTTACAAAAACTGCATAAACTCCATGAAGAAATAAAAACAAACCCACCTCCAACCAGGCATTCTGTGAACAACCTTGGTCTTCACCCATGAAAAGCTCAGTGCTAATTGCCCTCTGAAAGGGAAGGTCCCCCCAGAGGAGCATCACACTCTCTTCCTTGATCTCAATATCCCCATTTGAGATGAAAAAATTGACACTCACCGCACATGCTGTGTTTTCACTGTCTGACAGCCGTTGGTGCAGATCAAACCAAAGAGTCTGTTGGGGAGAAAATTATTAATAATATTTTTAAGAAATTAAAACATGTCGGGGGAGGGGGAAAGAAAGCAGCTGGCTGGCAAATTCTCCCATGAAAACCTGAGATGTAAATCAGTAATGAAGAACCTTGGATCCAATCTAAGTGATTGGCGGTAGACCAGCAAGAATTTCTCCCTTATCTTCCAATTACTAAAACCGAGCAGTCCCCTTGCCTGAACTTCTGATGGAAAAGAACGCTTCAGAGAGACTCTTTTCCCTTGCAAAAATGCAATCATCTGTAAAAAGGAGCCTAGCATCCCCAAAGGTCTGGTAATTTTGCACAATTTTAGCTGCAGATAGTTGGCTGAAAAAAATCTAGACATACACCTGCTGTGAGGGAACCCTGCTCTGCATGACAGGAGGGAGAAAGGGTCAAGTTTTCACCGAAGTTCACAGCCCTAACACTTATTTAGAAAGAGGAACAGAGAAAACAAAAATCTGTCTCAAGTAGCAATTCAGGTAAGTTGTCTTGGATCCTGGAAGGATACCGTTAATCACTGAGCTGTATATTGACTTGATTCCAAATGGTTGTGAAAAAGTAACCACTGCCTATATCTCTTTAAAGTAGCTATGTCTTTCCCCAGGATTATGCAGTTAGCTTCGCATACCCTGAAGCACCTGTTTAGAATCAAATTCGACATACTGCACCCCCTAATATTTAGTAAAATAATTAACAGCACATATGCTGCAGTTTCTGCTTGGTTAGTCACTCTAACACATATGTACACACACACACACACACACACAGAGTTTATGTGAGATTTTCCACTGAGAATCTCTGGCTACTTCTCCATTTGGGGCTACAATCCTCTTTCCAGGCTTCATATCACCCTTTGCCCTTCCTGATATGGACCTCAGAAAGGCAACTTTGTGAATAGATGGTTAATTAGACAATCCTAAAATGATTCTTCTTTCTCTTCAAGACTTTAAGACCGATACATGTCTTAGTTGTCTGTGACAATATCTGTCAGAAGTATGGAGCTTTCAATCCTTTATGGAGAGCTTGTCATCGCTCTCTGTATGATTGAATGATTGATTATATGCCATCAAGTCGTTATCGACTCTTAGTGACTAAATAGATATTCTCCATGATGATCTGTTCCTAACCTGGTCTTTCAGGTCTTCCAATGGTGCCCCTATCGCCCCTGTAACCGACTCCATCCACCTTGCTGCTGGTCATCTTCTTCTCTTTCCTTCCACCATTCCCAGCATTAGGGCCTTCTCCAGAGAGGTAGATCTTCACATAAGG